TCTCCCCCTGCAGGGCTCCACCCTCTCCGGCTCGTCTTCCTCACCTCTACACCAAAGGCCGGTCCCGTCCCAAGCTTCTGAGCAGGGGCAGCCCTGAGAGTGCGTGCGCCCGAACCCTCCCTCGCGCAGCCTAGCCCTGCTCAGAAGCCGGCGTCCCCACTCTGCTGAGGGGGACATTCTCCATGATCTCTGGGGCCTACAGAGGTCTGGAGAGGGCATGTTATGAGGTGAAGACTGACAGCAAAGGGGCAAGAAGAGCAGCCAGGCCACGCGTTCTGGACAACTTCGGCTTTTACTCGGGAGTGAGCAAGGAGCACTTAAGAATGGTTGTGAGTCCCCCAGTGACCTCCTTTCCTGGGAGCCCTGCAGAGCAGCCCAGAGGGGTCAGACCACAGGAAAGAAGGGTTAATGAGGCCTCCACAGCTCCTTCAACAAGAAATGACAGGTGGCAGCAGGACCGGAGATTAGCAGCAGGGGAGCTGTGACAAAGGCAGCAGACTCAACACACTTTCAAGTGGACACCCTCCAGGTGGAAGGAACCTGCAGCGCTCAGGCTGCGGATGGGGCAAATGCAGTTGGGGCCTCAGCAGACTTGTACATTTTGGTTCCTTTTATTAAAAAAAAAAAATCTTTTTTATTAAATTTGATACAGTGGATTGCTACGCAGTTTCGACTCACAGTGATCCTGTCTCTGTCGCCCCAGTCCTGGGATTACAGGCGTGTGTGCCACCACTCCCAGTTTCAGGGCCAGCACAGTATGTGGTACCAGAGATGGAATTCAGGTCTTTGAGCTTGCTAGGCAGGTGCTGTGAGCTATCTCCCCAGCCCCTACGTTTCAGTTCTGAAAAGTGAAGACAGCGACACTTCCAAGTCATTGAGAAGCACAGAATGAAAGTCTGGGTGCACTTGGATATGACGTGCTACTTCCTATCCCGCCTTCTTCAGCACAGAGTGTAGATGTTTTCTTAGCTTAGGCCAGTGTCCAGCATTTCAGATTTTAAAATCCAGATCATTCTATCTTCATGCCCTACCATAAGCGACTTCCTGATCAACCCCTGTCCTCCCTAATACCCCTTCTTTCTATCCCTCCTCTAAGCAAACTGTTCTGACCCCTGAAGGCGGCAGAGGAGTACAGCGTGCTGTAGTGGCCTACAAGGAGCCCTCAAGAGAACATGTGTGCAGCAAGGCAGAGGCTGGGGTAATCTCACTGCCCTAAAGGACAGCCAGCGGGGAGGAGGGGCACAGGCGAGGTCTGCTGTGTTCACTGCAGAGATTACCATGTTCGGGAGGACCTGGAGAGGGGCCTTACAGAACCTCACTGGAAGCTTTGTCTTACAGCTTCAGGAAGGGCAGAGGCCATTTATATATTTATTATTATTATTATTTAATGCATTTAGTACAGGATCTACGGGGTCTCACTACATAGATCAGATTCATAGTGATTCTCCTGTTTTCAGCCTCCCAAGCTCGGGGATTACTGGCGTGCACCACCACACCCAGTTTCAGTCGCCATCTCAGCAAGCCCCGGGGGTGGGTCCAGCCCGGCACACCGGGGATCACACTTGGTTCCTGCTTCTGCCTCAGCAGGCACTTTAATCCGCTAAGCTATCTGGTTGGCCCTGGCCAGGTCTGTTTTAACGTTTAGTATGCAACATACTCTGCACCGTGCTAACCACACGGTGGCTCAAGCCTTTACTCGAATGAATGCCAGAGGAAGCTGCAGTCGGAACAGGACATGGAGAGTGGACAGGTAGTGGACACACAAGGAAACCTCATCCTCAGTAGGAGCATGGACACCTACTCTGAAAGAGTCAGATAAACAAAGCGGCTACCTCAGAGTCCTAGCACGGGAGGACTTGGACAGCACTTAGTTCAGAGTCACAGAAGGAACTCCACAGCTTTAAACCAAGATCTGCCGGCCAGCACCAGGTTGATCCACGGATGAGCTCCTGGCTGACTGTGCTGTTCCAAGATGGGTTGGCGGGGGAGACGGGTGACGCCACCTGGAGTGGCGCGTCTGCTGTCTGGTCCCCCTTCACTCCCTGGCTACCGTGACATGCGCAGCTTTCCTCCTTAGCAGGCCTTTCCACCACATCGTATAGGGACCTGAGCCCAAAACTTCTGAGCCAAAATAATCCTTTTGCTCATGAGTTTCAGATATGGAGTCACAGCAGTGAGGTGACTGACTGAGTCTCAGATGTTCCAGGTGGAGAAACGTGATGCAAGAGGCCATTTTCAGGGAAGCAAATGAATTACTGTGAGGAAGAGGTCAAGCAAGGAGCCTATGGGAACGGAGTTTTAAGAAGCTACTCAGAGACTGGTTCAGCACCACGGGACCCTGAACTGGCAAGAGGTGAGGGTGAAGATTACCTACTAATTAACACCTACACGGTTTTCATATTGCTTTAAGAATTAAATTGCAGGATGGAGGTATGGCTGAGTGGCAAAACACGTGCCTCACATGCATGCAGCCCTGGGTTCAATCACTAGCTCCATATTAAAAAAAAAGCTGACAAAACTCAAAGCACAAACCCTCAAAGACTTCAGAAGACCTAGGTTCTTTCTGACAATCAGAAAGCTCTTATGCTGGGCCTGCTGGCAGCAAGCTGGTAAAGCCAGGAGCTGCAGCTTTTTGTTGGAGACAGGGACACAAGTCTCTGGCTTCCGGCATCCCTACTCCAATGGCCCTGCTCCCCCTGGGACTTGCAGGCATTTAGGTTTTCAAGCCTTCCAACAAGATCTAAGGCTCAAGGGTAGGATCCAATAGTGGGGGGAACTTTTCAAAGTGGGAAATAAGGAAGAAGAGCTCGTCATAAGAAGATGCCTGAGGCGGACTCTGGAGTGCTGGGCAGGTTGCCTTGTGCCCTCCCTGACTTCCATCACTGCTCTTCAATTTCCTTTTTTTTTTTTAATCAATATTAATTTCATTGAGAAAGAAATAGCAATGAGAAAGTTTCAAAACAGGTTAGTATGACAGTTATAATAATTAATACATTGCATATTGTTGTCTTCATAGTGGTGATTCATAGTACAAGATGCTGACATGATATCCTGTCCAAACACTGTTAGTACAAATCTTTCTTCTCATTGAATTAAGAGAAAGTAGCTGTATATCTATCCTAACTATTTTGAATATACAGATACAAAATGGTTCTTCATTTATATCCCCTTTTTGTTCAGTTTTGTCAGAGATGGGTATTCCATTGCCATTTAAATAATTTTCTTAACTGTTTCAAGCTTACGTGAAAGGTTTGTCTTCAGCTGCCATCCAGCCTGACAGTGTAGGAACAAAACACTCTTAGGCTTCTTAATTTGAGATAAAACAAGACTGAAAGCTGAGAGACTAGGGGGTTTCTGTGAGACAGCTGAGGGGGAAAAATGGACACTTTAGTGCAGGGGAGCTTTCAGAGCAGGGCTGGGAGCAACAGCCAGGCCCATGAGCCAGACTCCTGGGCTAAGCCCTGTGGGGTCTAAGCTGTGGGACCACTGGGCCAGGTGCGTGGTATAAATCAGTGACAGTACAGGAACCTGTCTCAGAGGGTTATCAGTTTACTCTTTAGAGTAGGCCCTACCAGAGTAGAAGTTAACAAACGCTGGCTATACCTGGTGATATTATTGGAGAAAACAGCTTTGAGTGGCTGCTCACTCTCACCAGCCTCGGTTACAGCCCGACCTGTGCAGTACCACGACATTCAGACTCTCGTAAGACTTTCTTGCCCCCAAAATGTGCTTCCAGCATTGGCAAATCTGTGTTCTCCCCCCCAAATGTGCGTCTCACTTTGTTTCGCAGCTAAGAACCACAAGCACTTTGTCTTCTGAAGCCTGGCTGAGCTGCTCTAGCCACAAGTTCCCTCCCTGGCTCCCGAGACCAAAGCTCCCACCATCCTCACTCAGCTACTTTGCACCGCTCAATCTATCCTTCTGCGGTCTTGCAACTGCCTCCTCAGCACCTGGCCAACAACTTCTGCAGCTTCAGCCCTCGGAGACTGAAGTCTGAGGAGTTTTCGTTTTGCTTCATGGTGCCTGGAGAGGCTGTGTCACATATAATAATGCCAAGTGTACCTCCCTGGTGATGTTGTGGTGCTAGATTCTGGAGCCTAAAATAGAAAATGCATGAATAATGTTGTATTCCTAAACACGTTTCATCCTACGTTGACTACTACAGCTGTGGCAAGTCACCGCACCTCTTGGTGCCCATGTCTTCAGCTGGAAATAAAACAATGAAACCTAATTGCACGTGGCTGTTTGGAGATGAACTGATCTAATTATAAATAATTTATTTAGCTAACTACCAATCAATGCACAGCAAAGTGAGACAGATGGATGTCTGCTCCAGGTGTAGCAATGAGGGGTATACTGGTCGCACAGAATTCGTGAATGGCAAAATTCTGTTAACATCAACCCTCTCTTTGCTTTCACCATATCCTGGTAATTCTAGATAGCATCAAAGATATGAGACCCACTAACTCTTCCCCTGAGAAATGACTGCTGCCAGTTATATAATATACTCACAGAAATTATTTATATAAAAGATTGAAAAAAAGAAAATACACTTCAAGGTGATTTTGGTAATGTTCACTTGGGTTTCCAACTTTCACCTGGTAGTACAGAATTAATGCAAAGTTGACAAGTGCATCCTGAAGCTACAATGTTCACTGCCATTTTAGTGGCACCATGAAGCTCCACACTGTGGGTCATCACACTCTAGCTGGCCGAGATGTCTTACCATTGCAGATGAACAGGTCCACCAGGTGCTCCTTGGAGAAACCAGCGTCCACTCTGGCTTTCACTATGTCACAGGAGTATCCTGCAGCCATCTGTCTGTGCTGAGGTAAACAGAATGGTCAGGGCCAATTCTCCAAGAAAAAGAGATCGTACGAAAGTAATCAGGGGCTGGTGAGATAGCTCAGTGGGCTAAGCACTTGCTTCGGCAAGTGTAGGGTCCAGGGTTTGATCCTCTGCACCACTTGGCTACAGCAGCACTGGCTCTCAGCTGGGCACTTGTAATCCCAGCGCTGGGGAGGCTGAAAACAGGAGGATCACTATGAGTCCGAGCTGCGTAGTGACACTCTGTACGACATACATACACATACATACATACATCAATAAATAAAATTTCTAAAAAGAAAGTAATCAGTACCTTCATGCACAGCGCAAGCTGACGCACTATGTAGTCTTGTAGGCTTCCTTCCGGGCCATGGAAAATGACATTTCGATATTGCTCGACCTAGTAGTGAACCAAGAAGAGATCTTAGGTGAAGATGGCAAGCACTGGGGCCGGAGAGATAGCTCACCAGATGCTAGGCAAGCTTAGGTAAGTGCCGGAACTGCGGCTCGATCCCCGGCACCACATGCCATGGTGAGTCTGGGCATAGTGGCACATGCCTGTAATCCCAGCGCTGGGGAGGCTGAGACAGGAAGATCACTGAGTCCAAGCTGCAACAACCAAATACATTTTTTAAAAAATGGATGGCAAGAGCTGCCATTTTATGAAAAGACATACATTTACTGGCTTCTGGCCATTTTTTATAGGAGGCTCAGCTTGAGTAGCTGAGAAACAGTTCCTAGTGTATTGTGCCTCTTGCTGATGTTACCTTGAATTTCCAAATGCTTATTTTGCTTTTTATTGATGAGAATAGCAGTGCATTTCTCTAGGAAAAATACAAAGAAATATAAAGAACCTGAACGGAATCCCTGACAGTATCAGCACCCAGAAGCAATCATTGGAAATATTGTTTCCTTCCAGGTCTTACTTTGCATAATGAATGTGTGTATGTGTTTATATTTTTGAAAGGAAGATACATGAGTGAGATCAGCAGCTATATCAGAAAATATCTTTGTGCTAATGTTTTATGTAAGATGCTTTGATGAGTATAAACTCTGATGAATGTGAATGTGTTATTTCATTCATTCAAAGAAATCCAGGGAGAGACAAATTACATTTATTTTGTAAAAAAGGAATTTTTTTTTTTTTTTTTTTTTTTGTGGAACCAGAGATTGAATTCAGGCCCTTGCGCTTGCTAGGCAGAAAAAGAAACTTGCTTGGATTCCCTTAGGACTTTCAACCTTTATTTTCCCCTTAAAGGATAAGATCCTTTTTAATGAGAGCCAGTCCTCCTCTACACAGGGCAGGGGCTGGGTAAGATGTCTAGAAGCAGCCTCTCCATTCATTATTATTCAAAAACTCAGCATCTATGCCCAGCACAGAGACTTGGGAGCAGTTTTTTGGCAAGATCTTACAGAAAAGGCCCCAAACAAGTGAAGCTGCAACTTAACAATACAGGCAACAGCTCGCACATGAGTACTGAACCACTCAGCCTCACAGAAGTCTTGGCTGTGGGAGGGTCTCTTCTCTCTACAACAAAGAGGATGATGTACACGCACACACGCATGTGTCTGCGCTGCTAACCGTCCACTGACTGAGTGAGGAGGCTGCCTCCTTCAGATCACTGCAGAAGGCCTCGAACAATCTGAGGGCAGCTGGGCTAGACCTTCTGAAGACAGCAAGTATGTTCCTGGTTCCTTCACTCTAGGAGGAGGCAGATTCTGGGAATATAACAGGATGGCTCATGGCAAAGCCTTCAGCACACAAGTCAGAGGGAACTCCTTCACCCCAGGCATTCAAGACTCCAGTTTTCTAATTAGGATAAAGAATTCTGCTTTTTGGTGTCAATCTTGATTTTTTTTTTTTTTTCTAATTTTGGGCCTCATACATTCTTGCCAAAGGACAACCTTGGTTCTGGTTTTCTCTCTGAGGTTTTGTCACTTTTTAAAAGTACTTTTGTGGGGAATTACAGGAACTCACACTGGTAATCAGTTGTGATTTCAAAGCTGAACACTCAAGCTCTCCAACTTAATCCCAAATTGCTATGAATTACTGGGGAGAAACACTCTCACAGGGAATGAATTGTTTCACACTAGTGAACTAGGACACAGATTTTCAAGATTTACTGAATATTCTGCCCCTGAGATTTTCAACTCGCCTTGCAATTTAATCTTGTTTCACTTCAGAACACAAGAGTGCTCTCTTCATTACAGCCATCCTGTCATGCTGTCTACACTTCCTGAAGATTGATTTTGAAATCATGTGCCAGCAGGAGACCTGACTTTATAGATAAGCTGTCTGCTATTTCAACCCCTCATTTGTTCTCAGCTGGTAGCAGTTGAGGAAAAACAGGAAGTATTCAGTTTCAAATTTCATCAAGGCCATTCCCCATCAATAAGCCCTTTGTGTTTACATAGTCTCATATTTTTGTGGCATATGGTAGAATATAAATAAGCAAGCTATGTAGATACAGGGGAAAAAGAGATGTCCAGATCATTTATATACTGTAACGCGTACATTGCCTGTACAGTCTCTTTTCACTTGGGGTAGTACAATTTTTGGTTAATGTTTTTGTTTATTGGTTTGTTTATCTCACCAAAACAATTGTGTTAGCTACCATTAGAAAAGGAATACAAATTTTAATTACTGGGAGAAAATTACCTTTATTCTGCTGAGATTGATGTAAATACTAAAAGCTCTGTGAAGAAAATCTGTTTTAGAGTTAACACACTACATTCCTTCAAATAGCAAGATGTTGGGCATACCTCCCTGCTTCCAGCAGAGGGCTCTAAAGATAGATGGAGCTGGAGACTGATGCGTCAGGATTGGAAATATTTTAGCTTTGCTGAAAGGAGAGAGGCTTGTCCTTTGAAAAACCAAATAAAATTCAACTTCTAAAGCAATAGGCTGAGTCATAGTCACCAGAATTCTTCCCCTGACAGTGACATTTTTGCCTACTTATTAAGTCATCAGCCTTATCATCACAGGTGGCACCAGTCCCCTGTACCCTCACATCCCCATGGCCTGCTGAGGAAGCATGTCACAGGTCAGCTGGTGCTCAGAGAGGCAGAGGTGCTGGAAACCAGTGACCCCGGCAATGCCCCCTCCACCACCCATGCTTCATGTGTATTTTTCCTCCAGTGTTTTTCTGCAGCGTGGTATTTACTAGAGGAGCTGTAGTTTCCACTCTTGTCAGTGTGACAGCTGCATTTTCAGATTTGTGGCATTTTAAAGTAAAACACCTTAACTTTTGTTTGCCATGTCACACAGAGTCTGGGAAAAAGATTTTACTGTCCAAAGACAGTATTAGGCCACGCTGTGCTGAATGTTAACCTCAGAAAAGAATGAAAAACAGGGATTTCCTGAGCCGATAAAATTGGGATAGCAACCACTCAAAGTCACATGCTTAACAGCTAGAGATTTCATTTTAATCTCTTCTGACACCCAATTTTTTTTTTTTTTTTTTTTTTTTTTTTTGTGGCCAGCTCCCTAGGGTCCTTGCACTTGCCTAAGCTTGCCCAAGCAGGAGTTTTAGACCACTGAGCTGTCTCGCCAGCCCTGACACCCAATTTTAAAGAAGTTATTTATATATAACATTAGAGCCATAAGTAGCAGTCAGTGTTAATTTATTTATATAAAGTTCCCTCAAACACTATCTATTGTTCTAAAGAGCAGTACCATGTTACTTCTAGTAGTTAATTTTTTTGTTCAGATTTCAAACAGCAATCAAAACAATTAGATACCATTTGGCAAAATAGTACTAACAAATTTAGAAAAAGGTAAACGTGAAATGGGAAGAGACCTAGTAGTAGAATGTGTACAACACAATGATCTGAAAGTCTATACAACTAGCATCAGAAATTTTTTTAAAAATGGAATCCTAGGGCCCAGGGAGATAGCTCAGTAGAGTAAGCGCTTGCCTGGAAAGTGCAGGGTCCTGAGTTCAATCCCTACCACTGGGGGAAAAAAAAAAAAAAGAAAAAGGAATCCTAATGTTAGAGAGTTTCAACTATTTGCTGAAGTCTCTCTTTATGTAATACACATAGCAATGAGAATTTCAGTGAAATTAGTCAATATACACAGAGAGCCTCTACTTATTGACCTACCTGCCTATTTATACACACACATAGTGTACTGAACTGTACAGACTCTTATCAAATTGGTTACTCATTTCAATAGACTTTCATTTACTAACAAGGACTTAACCATTTAGATATTACAGTTATTTTTCTGAAACAATAAAACTCTGGTGTCTCCCTTCTCAGCCACCCTCATGTACGCATGAGCTCTTCCTGCCCTTGCATCTCCTGGGCCAACTGCTGACCGGCTTCCCACAGTCTTCTCCATAACTGCCATAGAAGCCACAGGGTCTCCTGGTATTGGAGGTGACACCAGCATGGGGTGGCTTTCCTCGTCATGGTAGAGAGCCAACTCCCTTTGCCCTTAGGACCTCAGCCCACCTTGCTCTCCCAAGAACTAAAAGAGAAATGGCTACTGGCCACTGAGTTTTGTGAGCCGCTTTTGACACATATCCATTATTTACATTGTTATTTGTATGGAAAAGTTGCAACTTTATTTGGGGATATGTGGAAGCTAAGTAGTCTTTCCTAGTGGTGACTCCTGAGGATTCGTGTTATAGCACCTCTCGCAGTAGACAGCCAGCAGGCAGAAGGAGCTCAAGGGTCATTTCCTACAAGATTCAAGTCCTTCATTTAAAGTAGGGCTCGGACTGGGATGCCTTACTCAAGTAATCTGTAATTAAATAAATATGCATAGTCACTGAATTATTGAAATACAAGGTTGCAAATAAGCTAATAAAATTGTATACTGGCTGACAGGAGTATGTTAAGTTAGTTAAGAAAAAAAAAGCCCAATCAATGCACTACATTGAATAAAATGTTTTGGTGAGTCAAGCTCAATTTGATTAAACTTCTGCCTTACAAACTCAAGATAGATGCCTAAAATTTACCAGTGTGACTCTAACAATTAAATGAAAATGTTTAAAAATTTAAAAAAGTAACAGAAACAAGCAAAAGCTCTCCAACCCATGAGGATTTCTGCAGAAGGGCTTTCCCACAAGCATTTTATACATGTGATACATTTGCATATGTAATGAAAACTGGGTACTGCACTCTTTAATAGGATACGATGACATGTACAAGGATGGCACACAGCCGAGGTTCACCTCCGAGGGCCCACCACTGCCTTGCTGAGGTCTTCGGGTAAATCACTGTGAACCTGTGTGCGTCTATCGAGCTGCACGTGTCAGCTCTACACAGCAAGGCACCATCAGGTATTTGTTGCACTGGTGGGCCAAGCTACCATGCTACTTGCCTTCTCCCAGTGGCTTTCTGTCCTGCCTGGACGAACGTTCAAAACCCTTGCTTTGGCCCTGCATAATCCAATTTCTGACTATTTCTCAGAGGTAGCTATCAGGCTGGACATACTTGTGCCTGCTTCCAATACTTAAGGCTATGTTCTTCACTTCACTTGGTTTTCTGCTCAAATGCTACTAGAGACAGATCTTTTCCAAAAATTTCACTGATAGCATTTTCTGCTTCCTCTTGCTCCTGCTCCTTATCTCCTTGTTCCTTTTTATTTATACTTGTAATTAGTGTGGTTATACCTATGGATTTAATCGCTCTGGAATACAAGCTCAGGGAGGCCCAGTAGTATGTCTTAGGCATATCCAGAAACTAAGTTTAAGCCATTGCCTGCATTTAGGAGCTGTTCTATAGAGGTCAACAAACTAAATTAAGTGACTAACAGGATACACAAATGTGTAATACAGGCCTATCCTGTTGAAGCCAAAGATCTCGAATGAAAGAGGGAACATTCATAATGTTTATAATGTATTACTGCCTTAAGCACTTTACATTTTCAAACACAGTTAAAATAAGTACCTCATGTTCATTATGTCCATCCGAGTGAACAGATTACAAAGCCCTTCATATACACTCACTAAATTGAGAAAAGAAGTAAAACCACAGTTGACCTAGTCTAGTTTGTTGATCACTGGTAGTTAAACTAAGTCTATGAGTCAGGAGGCACATGCATAAGATACGCCGCATAGGATGGGACTAGCAGACACTGCATTTCACAGACTGCACAGAGCTAGTTAATGCTAATGTGCAATTCTAGTTCTGTTGCATATCTTCTTTATTCTTTTGGCCAAATCAAAGTTGTAATAGGTCATTGTTGTGGACCAGGTCATTGCTTCTGCCCTAAGCCTCAAGAAATTAGAACAGAATAATAATAATAATGGAATCACCTATACTGAAGTTTCCTATCTCCAAACTGAAACCAAATTGTTACTTGACTTGCTGGGAGATCAAGAACAACCAAGTTTCCGAAACAGGTGAGTTTCAATCAACATGATAATGAAATTCACTCTGCTTTAATCCTTATCAAAACGTAACTCATCAGGAAAGAATCGGTTATTTTTCCACTGTTGTGTCTCCCTGTTCCTGACACACAAGGAAAGTTAACTGTGAAATAAGCACTTCGCTTTTGTCTTTCATTTTCTGCTTTCTGTCTACTGCTCTGCTTATAAAACTACTCTGCCCAGCTCAGTGGACATTTACCTACTTATCAGAATGAAGTACTACAATTTAAAGCCAAAAGATTTTTTTTTTTTTTTTTTTTACTTAGTGCAGAGTCTGTAGGTTCTACAGGGTCTCACTACACAGATCGGACTGGTAGTGATCCTGTTTTCAGCTTCCCAAGCGCTGGGATTATAGGCAGGTGCCACCACACCCAGTCTCAATCACTGTCTCAGCGTGCCCCAGGGGTGGGGCCAGCACAGCAGGCCAGCATTGAGCATCGGATCCCCATGTCTGCCTAAGTAGGTGCTTTAATCCACTGAGCTATCTGGCCGGTGCTTCAAGGTTTTTAAATTGGTTACAATTTTGCTTTTTAGCAATTTCAGCACCTAAACAGGTGAATGGAAAGCCTTAGGCCAGACCCTTTCTCAGTTACAGAGATGCTGGGAGGAAAGAAGGGTTCTAGAGAGCACAAGGTTCACTTTCCGGAAGTTCATGCCTTCAGCCTTCATTAAAGCCAAGGCATGAGACAGAACTCCCTTCTGTCCTGTGTACTTCGGCGCTGTTGGGGGAGAGAAGCAAAGGGCAAAGAAAAGTACAAGCTTCTGATTCAGAAGCTCTATGTCACACACACTGCGAAGCTTTGAATGCTCATGTATTACCAGGACAGGACTGTGTGCACAAAGGGCCCAGCTCGGAGCCCAGCTCGATCAATGGCAACTTCTGAATACTTCCTTTCATCAGGGTGAAAATAAAGGCATCAATTCACAGCTTATGGAAACAACTTTTGGAGAAGATCATAGTCCAGCCTGTTCTGTTTAATAAGGCTTTCTAAATAAAGTAATGCAGTAAGCAAAGTTATTGTTTCATACCATTAATATTGGTTTTGGATAAATATCACACACAAAGGACACATACAGCACCTCAGGGACATGCATGATTCTGGCTTCATCACTTATTAGGTGGCTTTGAGCATATTATCTTCTAATTTCCTCATTAAAACAGTAGGTGAAATCATCTACCTCACAGAAAGATTTCAAAGAATAAAGGCACATAAGAGCACTTGGCATATTACTTTTCATTTACTATTAGTGAATGCAAAGTATTATATTTATCGATTTTATACCTAGAATTTGCTATTTTGATTATCTAATTTTTCTTCTTTCTTTTAGTAGTAGACTTTGTAGTTTTAGAAGAGCATGTGGCTGTCCCACAAAAGGCCAGGGGGACAGGGACAGGAATTCTTTATTCTGTCCCTGGTGTATGAGATGTGTAACTCGCTGAAAGGAGGGGCCTGTCTGTCCCTATCTCCTCCCTCCGGGTAGGGAGTAGACATGGTCGTGACCACCACTGTGCTCAACTCACACCAACGATGCAGTGAACAGGAAAGCAAGGAGGAGCTGCTGAGACCCTGAGCAATTCACCTTGCCTGCCCCACCCCAGAGTTCTCACCTCCTAGAAATCAGAAGCTTAAAAAAAAAATACTCTTAAAGCTATAATTACTTGGTTTCTGCTAAGAGGCTAAATAAACATTCTGCCCAATGCCAGACTATTTACTCAGTTTTAAAGCATAAAAGCTTCTAGTAAGGTATCTTGGCAGGTTTGCCATCCCTTCCATACTGACAGTCATTCATCTGATGTCAAGTCCTTGTTAAACAAAGACAACATCCTCCCGCTCAAATGATGGCGCTTTACAAGTTACACCATTTCTGGGTTCAGGCAATGGACACTTGGATGAAGTGACAGAAAACCAGACTAAGTGATAGGCAGCCTGCCAGCGAGAGGGCTGCCAGGGCACACAACAGTGCGAGGACGTGGCCAAGGCTGGGGGGCTGGCATTCCAGTCCGCACACAAACGGGCCGCCTGATACGCCAGTAGCGGTGTGGGAAGCTGAGGCCTCCACTTGGCACTGCTGACCTACCAGCCTGAGGTAGTTCTGCAGCATCTGAAGAGGGATCATGGAAGCATAAGTCACGCTATCGAGGCAGCCTTCTGGGGGGCCTGTAAAACACAAAGACACAGAAGGAAAGGGCTCCAAATGCAACAGAACCTATCATTAAGGAAACTACATTCGTGGATCTACGTGGGGAGAGCTAACATGTGGCCAAGAAGCACCAGTGGCCTCTGCACTCAGAACATCTCCACGCTGTGCTGACTGGCAAACACCCACGCTCCCCTGAGGGGGCCTTGCTCACCTTCCTGGGAGCGGGATGCCCTCCTGCCTCCTAGAAGTCGCAGGAAGGGACTCCAGGTCCCGCCCCCCTGTAGCTGGCATCTGCCAGTTGCTGGCTTCAAGTTATACTGTTTCTAGGCGAAAGTTATCCTAGGTCATCTCAGTCGTTAGAAACTTTAGCCCTGGCAATAATAATGTATGGACCTGGGGTCTGCTGTCCTGCCCCAAGTTCCACTGCCACTGTCGCAGTATACTGCGTGTGCATAAAAGGTATTTTCTAGGGTGAACCCTCTCTTTTTCAATTGCAGAAAGTAAAATAAAACATTAGTTCAACAGGATTTTTGAAAGTCTATTCCCAAGTATAGGAAATCAGTAACCTTTTCAATCTGGGGCTAAGAAATTGAGTGTTGTCGCATCATTTACTAGCAGCACATTAAGTAAGAAAAATCAAGGCCAGTACAATATCCAGAAGCTATAGGGCTCAAGGAAAGCATTTCTAAGAGGGAAGCTTACTCTGAAAAACAGAGTAAATGCAAGTAAATAATGTAATGGTGAACCTCAAGATCCTGCAAAAACAAGACAAATTCATATCCTTGCCAAACAAGGAAGGAAATCTAAAAGATCAGAACAAAACCTAATAAATTGAGACAAAACAAAGCAAAACAAGAACACCAGAAATAATTAATGAACCAAAGAGCTGACTTTTCAAAAGAATAAAGGAAATAGAGAAACCCTTAGCCAATCTTTCCCAAAAAAGGAAAGAAAAGACCTACATCGATGCAATTATAAACAAAAATGGTGAAATCACAACAAGCACAGCCAAAATTCAAAAGGTTGTTAGTAACTACTTCAAAACCTATATTACAACAAATTGGAGAATGCAGAAGACATGGATAGGTTCCTAGATACATATAAATTCCTAAAATGACACCAAGAAGATTTAAAAACTCTGAATAATCCAACAACAGAGAATGAATCTGAGGTAGTAACAGGCGCCTAATAACTAAGAAAAGCCCAGGACCCAAGAACTCTCCACTAAATTCTACAACAACTTCAGGGACCATCCGAAACTAATATTCCTCAAACTGTATAAAATACAGCTGAAAGGAGACAAGTACTGCCAAGCTCATTCCTGGAAGCTGGCACTGCCTTGATTCCAAAACCAGACAAAGATTCAACTAAAAAAAAAAAAAGAAAGAAAGAAAAAAGAAAGAAAAGAAAAGAAAAAAGAGAAAGCAATCTCTTTAACGAACATAGCTGCACAAATTGTCAACAAAATCCCAGGAACCACACAATAACATGAATCATTAAAAAAAATCATACATCACGACAAGATGGGCTTTATCATGGGGTTGTGAGGAGAGTTCAACATATGCACATATCAGTGAATACAGCACATGAACAGAGCACACAAATCACATGATCTTAATAGATGCAGAAAAAGCCTTAAATAAAATTCAGTATCTGGTTGTGCTAAAACGCTGGAAGAAAATAGATATAGAAAGACCTTATTTAAATATGATAAAGATCATTTATGACAAACCTACTGTCAACCATACAAAGAGCCCACTGAAGCACGCATACCATAGATTTGCCACCATGGTCTAGGGCCTCCGCAGCCAAGCCTATCTGAAGGCAACATGTAAAAGACATTTCTCTCCTCGCTCAGCCCAGGACCCTCAATTTGGCCTCAAGGGTACACAGGAACAGTAGCAGATAAGGACAGGGCAGACAACACCATAGGTGTCAGGAGCAGGACTTTTGATTTGTCCCCCCTTTAATCAAAATTTAAAAAAAAAAATCCACTTACTTCATTTTTGGAGACTACACATGCACTGAAGCCAACATGTGGCTCTAAGCAGTGGTACCAAGCCCAGAGAAGGAGCCAACACTCCCTGAAGACCTCCCGCCAGGCCAGCCTTACCTGACAACCATACCGTGACGTGCTCCGCCTTGCTCCTCCTCACGAAGTCCCACAGCGACTGGGTGCAGCTCTGACCGGCCGGCCATGGCACATTTCCTAGTTCAAGAAATGAAAGGCAGTGTCGAGGCCAGCTTGGACACGATGCTGTCCTAAGGGCAAACCGACACCATCCTCCGTGAAGCTGCCAAGGAATCCAGAGATTATGTTGCCAAAGGCCTGTGCAGGACGTAGAAAGTCACACAAGACCTGCACTCTCTAAGCAGGAGGGGGAAGACCAAAGAACTATTGTTTAAGGACAAAGCAAAAGTGTTCAATCTGTAGATTTAGTAAATGCATTACTAAGGAAGCACTGAGAGAACTATCTCGAGAACAAAATACAGCCAAATAAGTATAGAGTAAATGCTTAAGAACAAACCTGATCAAAACCTAAAATCATTTCATGATTCTTCCAATGGCTATTTTACAAAGCCTGAAACAATTTTCATGAGACATCAGATCTTTTACAACTGGGCCATGCATTTCTTTTTTTTTTTTTCTTCTTTCTTTCTTCCTTCCTTTCTGTGTGTGTGTGTGTGTGTGTGTGTGTGTGTGTGTGTGTGTGTGAGTGTGTGTGTGGCACCAGGGATCAAACTCAAGACCTTGTGCTTGCCAGGCAAGCACTTATTCCACGGAGCTGTCTCCCCGGCCCTGGGCCATGCAATTCTTAACAGCAAAGTTTTTTATTTCAGAGGGGGAAAAAAGGTAATTTCAGGTAGTTAATATAAGGCAAGCTTTTTCAGTCCTGGCCTTCGGCTCATTCTCATTTAGAATGGTCCTTAATTCACAGGGGCTTTTTCTAGGGATGGATCAGTACTAAGTGTCTCTTTCCATCAATTCCTTTCCACAAGTCAATCCTTCAAATATCTGTTCTCAGTGTGCCCCTAACATTCATAAGTGCTTCCGTCATAACTCTCTGCTTAACTGTTGCCTACAAATTCCTTTAATGTAGCTTAAGTTATGGATCCACCAAAGCACACAGGTACATTAATAATGATGCTATAATTACCAATTGTCACATGGCTGTAGCTAAGCATGAGGCCTTTTAGCCATAAAAATTCTACTCCAGCAGACTACACCTTCCTGCTAAGCAGTAACAAGGAAACTGTCATAAGGGTCAACTTAGCTGGCGGTGGGGAGAGCAATTTGTCTGTAGCAGCTTTCTTAGCTGCAGGAGGGCAGACAGGGGACCATTTCCTTCAAAACCACTGCCCCACAGACTTCTGCATCAGGTCGCCAGGCAGAACCATCACTGGAGTACCACTCTGTGAGCAAACAGTGTTCCTGAAACCATCTATCACTTACTTCCTTAATGCAATCATTTAATATATAATAACAACTGTATCGTTGTTTTAGTAATCTTGCTAAAGACTAATAAAGTCAAGTTGTAACAAATAATTTGCTCTAAAAACTAGTAGCAGGATAATTTTGGGACGTGCATGAACAGAACACCACACTTCCTGCTAGAATAAACTATGTACATTAACAGGACTGTTGAAGACCGCCCTTCTCTTACCCTTGATTATTCTTTTCCAATTTTAAAATATATTAGATTACACAGTTATTGCAAAAGCAGCTTCCCACAAACATTAGTTCTCTGGTCCAAGTCAGAAGAAACCATTAGGAGGCAACTAATATCTAACATTTACAGAGCACATACTGTGCACACTGGAAAACGAATCTTAAGTTCTCTGGAGTCTGTCTACCCAGCAGAAACTAGCTATCACTCTGACCCACCCCAGGTAGGAGCTTAGACTGTGTCTTCATTCCAGGATTTCCGCCAACTCCAGACTTGATTAAGAAACCTTCCCTGGGGCCAAGGTGTCAGTGCTCTGTAACACCCACAGCAATGGCCCTAAAGAGCTGGGTTCAGAATTGGTGCATTAGTGAGCAGCTATGATGTGGTTAGTTTCTTGCATTTATCTAGCCTGCAAATCTAATCACAAAGCCTCATCAGAAGTTTTCGAGTTCTTTACTCTCTAGTACTACTGGAGGCATGAAGGCATTTTTTACATTAACAACAGTACGTTATGTAATGGCTACATCGTGGCTAGTTAAGGTTTTCAGCAATGGCAGCTGCCCCAAGTGAGCTACGAAGATGCTCAATCAAGGAACTGAGTATCAAGCTCTACAGCTCGCACACATAAGTAACTCCCCAAATTTAACTTTCTCTCCCCACTAGCAAGGCTGATACCTAGTGTGATGGATCGGACACTGCTGGCGCTGAGGCCGATGTTGGAATCAGTGGTGGTAGTAAGTGCCGTGTCTCCCGGACTGCTCCATCCATCAGAAGAAATGGCTTGGAAATGACGTGTCAGGGCCTGACTCACTGCTTTTGAAAAATCATCCCAAGACGTCTGTTTGCGGATATTTAAAGCACATATTGTGTTTTCACATTCAAAGTCATCACCATCATCCTTGCCGGGTGGAATCTCACCCACAGAAAGCCTTAAGGGTATTTTAAGAGCATCTGTTAAGAGAACAGAAGAATTAGAAGTCTTAAAGAAATGATAGCAAAAACAGCAAAGCAAGCATATATAAGCATTTAAAAAGAAACCAAACCAAAGAACAGCTTTTTTATTTCTTCCAATGATATTCAATTGAATTTTCATACACTGAACTTTGGTCTCCTAGTCTCCTCATAGTTTTTTAGAAGCACACTGTATGAACTGTTTCTTTTTCAATTTCATTGACAGCTGCTCAAGCTGCTTTTAAAAAAGTCTGAGAACAGGAGAGCTCGCCCTCAACCTTGACTCCTAAGCGTGCTTCTTACTTGTACAGTACTGTCACACATGAGTCAGGTGTAGCTGTGGTTTTTATGAAGCTCAAGATGGCGGCTTAGGCAGCGACCGACCTCGGCCTGGGCCTGAGGGTCCCCCTCCTCTAGCTGTGGTATTTGGTTAATTGCCTTGATCTTCCACGTCTCAAGTTCTTCTGTAGAGAGATTATATACTGAGTTGTGATGAAGAGTAAGTGGATTTGTGTTTGTAACAAATTCGAGACACTATTTCTTGTATAGTAAACACTAGCAAGTGCTTGTTAAGCAGCAAACACGGCAGCAGGGGCGTCATGAATTACCTTCCTGATCCTGGCACCCACTGACAGGCTCCTCCGTGCAGCTGGTGCCCCCCACACCCCTGTTCTCGTCATCTGAGCTGTGTGTGCCCCCAAATCTTCTGTCTCATGAACTCATCACTGTTATTAGAGAATTTACCATCCTATAAACTGATGAAGTATGAGCTATAGTTATTAAGAAAATGAAGTTTAAAACTTTAGAGAAACTTCATGGAGTTGGTACCAAGTGTTATCTATGCAGTATGAATGAGATAATTTCAAAGTTAGAAAAAAAAAAGTAATCTCTGGACAGACAGTTTACTTCCCAAATGTGCTTATGTACTCAAACACAAGGCATCCCAGAAGATGCATAAGGAATGCTTTGCTTATTTATTATTATTATTATCATTATTATTTTGTATTTTAGGGAAGGGTCTACAGGGTCTCACTACTAGATTGGACTCGTAGTGATCTGCCTGTTTATAGCCTCCCAAGAGCTGGGATTACAGGCATGCGCCACCATGCCCAGTCTTAATTGCCATCTCAGCACGCCCCGGGGACGCGGCCAGCATGGCAGGCCTGGGGATGGAACCCTTGGCCCCTGCTGGCCAGCCCGCTTTGTTTAAATATAGACAACCATCAATCAGTGGAAGCATTCTAAAGTGATGACTACTTAAAATTTGAAGGAATTACCTTGTAGGCTTTAATATTAAAATATTAATTCCAGTACTTGGGAGAATGATCAAGAGGCCAGCCTGGCCTACAGGGCCAGACCCTGTCTCAAACAATTTTTAAATGTGTTTTAGGATCCTTTCCTTTAACTTAATTTTCCCAGTAAGTGACACGGCAGTACTGCGCAGGGACGACCCCTCTCTGCTCCTGACCTGACTCCCCAAGAACCTCTCCAACCTCACTGCTTGCCCTCTCCTGCTGGTTTCTGTGTGCTGCTCCCTGCACTGAATCCAGATCTTCCTGACAGAGCGCTTCAAAGCTCTTTTCCACGTTTTCTGTGTTCACTCTGTTAGTGATCTCATCCAGCCCCAGGACTTTAATTTCATGGAGAGCCTGCTGATTCTCAGTCTCATTCCAGCTCACACTCGACTCCAGAAGTCCTGCAGATCTGACACAGGGCTTCCCGGACATCCACAGCACATATCCAGAACTGAGCTCCTGCTCTTTAGCAGCAAAACCTGCCTCACCCACAACCGCCTCCCCGTGGCAGGAGATGGGAGATGCGTCTGCCGGCTGCTCAGGCTGAACACCTTCCAATGACCTGTGAATCCCCTCCCATCAACCTCACATTCGATCCATTAGAAAGTCCGCCAACTCTGTGTTCTGCACCTCTGAACCTAAGTGCTATTTTGCTGAATTCACACACCTATAATATTCAAATAACAGAACTAAACAAAAAAAAGGGGATACAGATGAATGTCCATCTTGTGTCTGTGTATTCAAAATGGTTAGGATAGATATATAGCTACATTCTCTTAATGAATAGTGACTTGATCTTTTGTAAATAGTATATCACGTTTGCATCTTGTACAGCAATTAACCACTAGGAAGAATGTATGCAATGTGTTAATTATTGAAACTGTCCTACCAATTTGGTTTGAAACTGTCTCATTGCTATTTGTTTCTCAATAAAATTATGGAAAAAAAAAGAACCTAAGTGCTCTACACCACCGTACCTGCAGTAATCCTACACTAAATTACTATCATTGCTTCTCACCTGGAAAACAAGTCATATTCTAATGGACACCCTGGATTTTACTGTACAATCTTATTTTTAACAAAGCAGCTGATGATAGTTAAAATATATACCAGATATCTGTCACTATGGCTGTCTTAAATCCTCACAATGGCCTATAAATTCCAATAAAAATCTGCACTTTGCCTGATCTATTTTCCTGCTTTCTGCCCTTATTCATTCCAACCCAGTCACCAGAAGCACCAGGCCTCTCCTACCTTAGGGCCTCTGCCCCCTTGGTGTCCTGCCTGGACAGCCTTACCTGAGACCCACATAGCCACCGTCCATCTTCTTCAGTCACCACCTGAACGTCTCACCAGGATGGCTTCCCTGGTGGGCATTCTTTTATTTTTTTTTTTTTATGTATTTGGTACAGGGTCTCACCACACAGCTTGGACTCATAGTGATCCTCCTGTTGTCAGCCTCGCCACGCTGGGATTACAGGCGTGCGCCACCATGCCCTGCCTCAGTGGCTGGCTCAGCAGGCCTGATGGGCATTCTTAAAATTAAACCCACCGTCAAAAGTCCAGACACCGTTGGTCTTTTCCACAGCAGACTTCCCTATCTTGCAGTCATGTATAAATTGTTTTGTATGTTTACTCTTTGTTTAGAGCATCAGGATGTAAAGTTTTCATACAATTTTTCTCTTACCCCATGTTAGGATACTGACTGGCATACAAAGGAACTTGGTAATTGTTTGTTGAGTGAATTAATTAAAGGGCAGAATTCTGTAACAGTTTTTCCCATTGTCTCTCTGTAATACTCACTGCTTAAAATACTCAGCTTCTGCCTACAGAAAGAACTGCATGAAACTTGGCTCCCTGTTAGCAATAGCTCTTTAATTGCTGGATTTATCTGGTCTCTTTGAACCCTCACACCTTAGGGAATTTTACAGTGCAGTACTGAGTGAACTTCTCCCCTCCCAACATGGTCTCCTGCGTAAAGGAAGGTAGCAGTTTTTTCAGAATCTCTAGCTTACCATTTCTTTCTCAGTCTTCTTCTTAAGCCATGTCCCCCCTAGTGTGCACTTACAACTGGGGTTCCTCTGGCTTGCCTCAGTCCCCTCTGTTCACCAACCTGCACACTGCCCCATGTAACAGCACACCTGTGACTTGCCACCTGTGACTGCCTCGTGCGGCTGTGCAGCCACCTGGCCTGCTCGGGGCCTGCTCTCTCCTACCCGGTCTCAGATATGTACCGGTAATACGGTACGGTATGGTGCTGAGTCAAAATAAACCTCTCAACCTTTAAACTGTGGGTCTCAGTAGTTTGTCCCAGCGATGGGAAAGGGATAAACATATCCCTCCTTCTCGAACATCACACGAAGACTCCACAGCAGCACGCTCTCTGAAACCTCCCAAGATGCTGCTGGCTCCCCAGGAAAACATCTACTTTGATCCTGATTCCGCAGTCTCACCTCCATCCTTCACAGAGAGCCTTTTACTTCCCTACTCCAAGCACACTTTCCCTTTCCTCCACTCAGAGGTCCTGACGCGGAGTTATGGTTTTCAAATTCCACATAGATGGTTTTGGATTATGTATCGTTTCATAATTTTTTCACTCAACATTGTTAACCTAACTATGGTGATTTATATAGATAAAATTTACTTTTAACTTCAAATTATTGACTTTCTACATCTTTTCTCTATCATCTATTCCGCACCAGATTTCCACCTGGAACGCTTTCAGCTTTCTCCAGTTACGCGCAGCGCTTCCGGAAGCATCCCTGGCTCTCCTGGCACACGCATGCTGCAGTGCCCTCAGCTTATGCTCCGAGGCGAGGACAGAAACTGTCTGTTGAGCAAATGGCCTGCTCTTCTGTACTTATTTTTGTATTTCATTCACGCTCACAGCTCCCACTGTCAGCCTTATGAAGTGCTCTTCCAATCTAAGTGCACATCCTATCGTTTTTCCTTCTCTCAGTCTGTCAAAAATCACAAATCTTTGAGATTTTCAGAAATAACACTTACACAAACCTCAAAGCAAGGTCATGGGTTATGATGTCCTGATGAAGGTGCCCTCCCTCAAAGCCACCGAGCTGCCACTGTTCCACAAGATACACTTTCAAATGCTGCCCGTGGGTCCGAGGTGGAGCTACGCTTGGGTCCCACACACCAGTCTTTTTTTGTTAAAGTCCTCCTTAAGCATTTTCCCAACCCTCTCCTTGCTGTGTACCACTCCCCCATCCATGGCTCTGGTCCAGCTTCTGACACTGAATTATAACTTCCTGAGGCTTACTCTGTTTTCACACTTCGTATAGGCTCACGTGTCTCCAACAGAGCTACGTGCGTGACAAGTGCCACACTGCTGAGGACCCAGCTGGCTCTTCTATATCTTCCAGACGAAAGTAAAGTTACTGAAAAGAGCCTCAAGCTGCCTGTAGCATCCTTTGCTGTCTCACCCTTCATATTACCCACCTCTAAACACACCTCTTCCTCACGTCCTGGATACCACAACTATCTGCATCAAGTGTTCCTTTTTGAAGGTTTAATACAAAAGTAGAGGGGTTTTGTTGTTGTTGTTATTTTTTGTACTGCGGTTCGAACTCAGGACTCTGTGCTTACCAGGTAGATGCTTATGCCACTGAGCCATCTCCCCAGCCAAAAGTAGAGTTAAATGATAGCAAATTCTTCACTGGGTCAAAAATCCTCTCAGACGGCAAGATAAATTCTTTGACTCTCTTTTATGTCTCCATATAGTCATATATCTTACAATTTGTTTATATTGTTTCTTACCATAGTCAGGTTTTCTTCATGAAATAAAGGACTACAAATTTATGGATTAAAAATGAAGGTTAAGGTATTATTTTAATTTACAATTTGGCTTGCCCTAAAGCTGACTTCCTGAAACTCTGGCTGGATGGAGAGATTGGGTGACAATCTTGATTTAACTCATAAGATTTTGTATGACACACCACTCCATGTTCATAAACACACAGGTAGACTTTACATTAAATGTGCTGAGAAGTACGGATGCTTAGTGCTGCGAGGGACTCAAGAAATTGCCAGTTATCCCCAGATATAGGTAGGCGACTGTGTGCTGGAAGACAACCTAGTGGCCTGGTTCATAGGATCAGCTGGGCAGGGACCTAGCTAGGATTTGTCACACCCTAGCAGTTTCATCTCTAAAAGGACAGTCTAACGCAGGAGAAGGATGAATCACCATTTAGATTGCTTTCCTAGGCTGGTCAGTAAAATCCAAGGAAGATTTAGTATTATTTGACTAACAAATAGTTCTACGAAACTCATTCTGCATTTCTGGGAAAAAGAAGTAATCACCACATTTGTAATCAATACAACGTCACAGCCATAGCAAGGGACCAAAAGAAGTAGAGGGGATAAGGAAAGTGCACTTGCATTCACGCACTTCCCGTTCCCAGGTGCCCCAGAAGCAGAGGAAGGATGAAGAGCTCCAAGCGGTACTTACTCAGATTCTCTAGCAAATGCTTGCAGTCATCAGTGGCAACGTCATGCACTGTCCGATTGCACCTGTCCCTCTTTTCTGGCTCGAGCCCTCCATGCCTACACAAGATTTCTAGGCAGTTCTGTAGAGACAAGAGCTCTGTCACCTCTAAGTCCAAATGAATTTTCTTGGTTATAAAACTCAAGAGAAAAGCCAATGAAAAATTCACAGCTAGACCAGTTGAGATCAGTAGTACAATTATCCAACCCCTGCTGTGTATATACTTAGCTATTTTCCCTTCCTTCTTGCTTTTTGCCTTTTCCTCATCCCAGTTGTTCCTTCCTCTTGAAGTTTCTTTCCCTTTCATAGTATCTATGGTGTTTTCCGATTTTATTGACTCTTTCAGACTCTTACATTAGGGAGACCATATGATGTTTACACCTGTGGGTCTGATTTATTTCACCTATGAGTGTGTACGGTCTCTAGTTGCATCCATTTACTTATAAATACCTCCAGTTTTTTTTCCTCTGTCTTTTCTTTTGTCTTTTTAAGACAGGGTCTCACTAAGCAGTTGAGGCCTGCCTTGAGCTCACTCGGTAGCCCAGGCTGGTCCCATCAACTTGCAATGCTCCCTCTGCCTCGGCCTCCTGAGTGCTGGGGTTGCAGGTGTGCACCACCACACCCAGCTCTATCTTTATTTTATAGCTGACTTGTTACTGGTCTGTTGAAAGAAACAGTTAACACTTAATTTTTTTCTTCTTTTTAATTTTTTGACCAATTTTGTATAATTATATTTGATAATCTGAACAACTAATGTAAAGACAGCAATGTACAATATAGCAACTATTGCTGAATTTCTATCATTTTGTTTAGTGAAATTCTGATTTGATAGTTTCTAATTTTATTTTTACTATTTTTCTCTCTTAGAAAAATAAAAATAAGGGGCTGGAGATACAGCTCCGCAGTCTAAGCACCTGCCTGGCAAGTGCAAGGACCCAAGTTCAATCCTTGATTCTGCTTGTCATGCTGACCCTGAAGCTCCAGGTGTGATGTGCTGGCCACCAAAACCAGGTGTGATGGTGCACGCCTGTGATCCCAGCGCTGGGGAGGCTGAGACAGGAGGATCACTACGACTCTATCCTGCATAGCGAGACCCTGTACTAGATAAATTAAATAATAAAATAAAAATAACAAAAGGAAAAAAGTTCACATCTAGAGCCTGGCATGGTGGCAGGTAGATTACTCCTGTAATCCCAGCACTCCAGGAAGCTGAAACAGGAAGAACACAAGTTTGATCCTGGGCAACTTAACAACTTATTGAGACCCTGTTTTAAAATAAAAAGCAAAGGCTAAAGATGTGGCTTAGGGTGATGGCCCCAAGTTCAAACTCTAATAAAAAAAAAAAAATCACAGCTCAAAATCTTTCAATTTTAGTAAACTAAAATACACAGATCGATCCCTGAATAATCTAAATAATGTCTAGATATTCAAAGTGCACAGTACTACATTTATGGGGGTTTTTGTTGTGTTTTGCTTTGCTTTTTTCTGAGTTCAGGATCAAACCCAGGCCTTAGGCAGGCTAGGCAAGTGCCTCCCCTTCAGCTGCAGCACCCCAGCACACAGCGCTTCACTTGAAGGCTTTCAGGGATTCTCGAGAAAGAAAAGGTTACTAATCCAGGGTTTACAAAATGAAATTAAAAACCAAATTGACTTCAGCAGGCAGGAGCCTTTTATGGTAATTTGGCAATACAAAGAAAAAAGACTTGCACTACAACTGGGGGCTGCTTGCTGCCTTCTAAACTGCAAAGTGCTTTCCTGGTAAGAAATCTTAACAACTCCACCCAAGAGCCCTCAAAAGCACATTTGTGTTTCAGATTTTATGCTGCCCTAAGTTTCTTTTTTTCTTTTCTTTTCTTTTTTTTTTTTTTTAATATGAACATCATGTCAGTTGAGTTTTTTAAAGGCTTAGTCCTCCAAATACAATGTAAGGGACAACAAATGTGTATATTACATCAGATTGTTTCCCAAGGAACTGTATCTTATTTAACTTTTTTTTTTTTTAATGTATTTGGTTGTTACAGTGTGTCACTACACAGCTCAGACTCATAGTGATCCTCCTGTTTTCAGCCTCCCCAGCGCTGGGATTACAGGCGTACACCACTATACCCGGACTCTATGGCCAGCTCAGCCGGCCCTGAGGTCGGGGCCGGGGCAGCACGTGGTGCTGGGGAATGAACCGCAGTCCCTGCGCTTGCCTAAGCTTGCCTAAACTGGTGCTTTAGTCTGCTGAGCATCTCACAGGCCCCTTACTTAACTTTTACCACTTCATAATCTGCTTCCTTACTTCCCATATGGATAATTAGAAAAATAAATAGGCTAGAAATAACACAAACAAGTTAATGATCAAAACAAGCAATGAGCTTCCCACGGTTCCCTTCAAACCTGCATGCACCACTCACTGTGCCCTGACAACTCAGCAAACCAGGGAGCACCATCCAGCGGGTAAGGGGAGGCCAGCCTGCCCATGGAAGCAGCCCTCGCCTGCCCACGGAAGCAGCCCTCGCCTGCTGGGGGGGTCATCTCATCTCAGCCTACCCGCCATATAACTAATTTGATTTCTAACATAAGGGAGTGATTCACCTTTTTCTTAACCACAATATAAATGGAATCACACATCAGGTATACTTTTGTGCTTCCATTTTTCAACATAATGTCACTAAGACCCATCCACGTGGTAGACCCATAATTCACCTTGTCTTTTAAGAAATTATAATTGTGCATTGTCAGGCATGGTGGCACATACCTGTAATCCTAGCTACTTAAGAGGCTAAAGCAGGAAGAAAAGAAATTAGAGGCTAGCCTGGGAATTTAGCAAGACCCTGTTTCAAAATAAGAAATGAAAAGGAGTGGAGATGTAGCTTAGAATAAACACTATAGTTCAATCCACAGTACCACAAAAAAAAGAAATTACTGTGTAGTATTTTACTATGAACATGCCACAGTTCACTTCTCCATCCACTGGTGGATGGACATGTGGGTTCTGACTCGAGCATTTTACTACTGTGGAACACGCGTGCAGCACATGCAGTTGTGCTGCGCTGCTGGGCAGAGGTCCCAGCTCTGCTTTCTGTGAGTGTATCTACATACACACAAAAGCTTTCAGAAGTAGTAACATCAAAGTCAATGTAGCTGCACACGCCAGTAATCCAGCACCTGGGGAGCCAAGGCAGGAGGACAGTGAGTTCTAGGCCAGCCTGGGATACAGAATGAGTTCAAGGCCAATTTGGGTTATTTAGAAAGACCCTGCCAAAGGGAGGGAGAGAGGGAGAGGAGGGAAGTTGTACCAAGTCCCACTCCATGAGACTGTGAATTCCATGTGCTTTATATTGTCTCCACTTTTAAATGCAATAAAAGGTTCCCAAGAAAGTACAGGAAATCCCTAAGCACAAGAAATAAAAAGAGTGACCTAAAGTCAACAGTGAAGTGAAATTTGAGCAGAAGCCAGTGATGAGCTGAGGTCAGAGGTGACACAGAGACATGTTGTGGACCTACAGGAGAGAGGGATGCAACCAAGAGGCCGGCAGCCAGGCGGCCCTGCCTTCCTGAGCACGGGCCCGCGGAGGCTCTGGCTTCCTTCTGCCCGCTCCTGCTGAGCTTGGAGGGATCGCCACACCACACTCTGACTCAGAATTACTAGGCTACGTAATTAAATGAGCATAAAGTGAGGTGTAAATCACAGTCCTTATCAAGCTGTTACTATTAAATTTCATAAATCAGAAGTAAACACAGCTCATGAGAAACTTAGATAATGTTGATTAAGAAATTAATGGCTACAGGTTTACACAGAACGCAGTCTGAGAACTAAACTTCATATATCTCCAAAATGAGATAAAAATAAAATACTATTACTATTGAAGTTAATTCTTGTTGCAAAACAGGCTAAGAGCCTGAGTAGACTTACTCTAATCCTGAAAATATAAATAGTCCTATCTGCAGCTTTTGTAAAGCTTTTGACATTTTTTGGCTTTAGTTTCCCTGTACTGTGCTTCAAATACCTGTATCTTAATTCTTATGTGACTTACACAGAAGACACAAAACTGTTATATTCTAGGTATGTACTGTACTAATGCCCCAATATTGATGAGCAGCTGTGATTTATTACAATCAACCTCATCACTACCAGTTAGAAAATCGTCCCAATATTTAGTTAGTTGAGTCACTATAGTACATCCACAAATGCAATGAAGCTGAAGATAACTCTAAGTTGTTATTTCAAGCTACAAAGAGAGGGGATAAAAGGTGCAACTCAGGGCTGTTTCGAATGCTCCCCAGAGTCACCAAGGGCAACGGGTAACAAGACAAGCAGCGACTTTCTCTTGAAGGAAGCAGAAGACGTCAGTGTCATGAGAGCAACGCACGTCCAAACACTGCTATGAGAACAAATTCTGAAGCGACATGTTGGCCCATGGTGAGCAAAGAGTACAGGTAAACTGTCACTTACCTAGACCTGCAACAACGACCTCAGGGCATGCTAACTTTTAGGCACTTCTGACACTTTTTAAGTACAAGCACTTGTTGCTAAACAGCAGGGATGCAACAGAAATGTGTTGTTGGATGATTTCATGTTGTGAAAACATCAGGTATTATATTTCCACAAACTAAGAGGGGACGATCATCCTGTGGGCAGTCCACTGATGGTCAACACGTCATTATGTGGCACATGACTGATTCAGGGCTCATTTACACTTTACAGCGACTTCAGGGCACCTCTGACAAGGACTATGTCAAGGCTTAGGCGGTGAGGATGAATGAAGTAACAGTTCCACGCACTAAGGACGGATGCAGTATCACAAAGAGGCCAACATGGACAAATCCCAGATCGGAAGGGGGTGTGTAAGATACACAATCAACAACACGAAAACCATTAGCATCCCATACACCAATAACGGAGCCAGAAAGACAGATGCCATGGCGTGCATTGAGAGGTGCTCCCCAAGCCTCAGGCAGTTACAGATGGGGAGTGCTGAAGGTGGCTGGATCAGCACGTGTGATGCTAGGATCAAGCATGTGATGATGGGGTTCAGGGTGCCCCACTCTGGTTGTGGGTGGCACCAAATGAAAGGCAGTGGCCTGGACCTAACA